TGACTTAGCTAGTCCCTTCTCGTGATCTCTTATGATCTTAGCTCTGAGGTTATGCTGTTTCTATTCTATGCAAGCCTGACCTACTGTATAGAGGAGAGGGGAAGGCAGTGCACATATCATGAGATTTGGGAGTACTGATAGACCCTACCTCCCCTCCCCCCCAAATAAGTGCCTTGCTGCTGTTCCATGATGTTACTCTCCACTCCCACCTGGCTTGAAGTTTCCACCAAAAAGTTATTTTCCAGCAGTATCAGAGGTTTAGCTATTTCCAAAATCTTAGTATACCGAATGATCAGTACCAACTGTTCTCTTCTCTGCCAGCCTATCTACTGACACATTTTCCTTATTCATTCTCACCTTGGGTTCAAAGGCAATCAAAGGGTATATCCTTATATTTCCTTATAAATTGCTAAAACTGAAAGATATTTCTCATTAGCCAACTTGCTCTGGGCCCCCACCCAGTCTATTAAATGTTATTTATTAAATAAACTAGACAGACCTCTTTCCCCGTAAACTTTTGCTCATCTCTATATACCATCCCCACTAATTACCTAGTCTTAAGTAATCTTTGAGGTTACTGATGATACAATTTATTAGCAATGCAATAGACAATAAAATGTTTATATAAATAATTGTTTACAATGTATCAGCTCCAAGAAAGATCACAGCCAGAGTCATCTCTAACTATTCTATTATTACTACTGACAGACCCACCGTTTAGTTCTGTCAAGATGCCGATGAAGTCTTCTTAAGAATTCTCTTCATTGTGTTTCTTCACAAGACTTAAAACAGTTCTCTCAAGAAAGAAGTTCTCTTAGTTCTTTCCATTTCACTCAGTTTCTCTCTACTACCACAGTTAACAGTCTGTCTATGACAACAATCAACCCAGCCTCACAAAATTATAACCCTTTTTTCTTTAGCAAAGGTATTTACTCAAATGGTATCACAATAGTAATAATTACAAAGTATTTCCCCCAAAACCAGAGGTGTACTCTCCCACAAATACAATACTCTGTGTATAGAATTGTGGGCACTAGCTTTTTTAAAAATTCAATTTTATTTTATTTTTAGTCCCAAATTCTCTCTCTTCCCCACTCATTGAGAAGGCAAAACCCCCAAAACCTAGTACAAATATGTATAGTCATGCAAAACAATGCCCACATTAGCCATACTCAAAGAAAGAGAAAGAAGGAAGGAAGGAAGGAGAAGAGAGAAACAAAGAAAAGAAATTATGCTTCAGTCTGCACTCTGAGAGCATTAGTTCTCTATGTGAAGGGATAGCATGTTTCATCATGAGTCCATTGTGGTTGGTGATTGTGTTGATGAGAAAAATAAAACTTTTAATGTTAATTATCTTTATAATATTAGTGTCACTGTATAAATTGTTCTGGTGCTGCTTATTTCACTTTGCATCAGTTCATACAAGTCTTCCCAGGTTTTTCAGAAATCATCCTCTTCATCATTTCTTATAGCACAATAGTATATAGTATCCCATTAGATTCATATACTATAACCTGTTCAACCATTCCCCAATTGATGGGCATCTCCTCAGTTTCCAATTCTTTGCCATCATAAAAAGAACTGCTATACATATTTTTTATACACATAGGTCCTTTTCTTCTTTTTTTGATCTCTTTGGAGTTTATTCCCCTTTAAAGATACAGTAACTATATCCATAGTTTCTGTTGTAAAGGCTATTGAAGCTGATATTACATATTTATCTAATTTATCCCTAAGTCTGTCTGGCTTCTATCTATCTCTCTATCTGTCTATCTACTGGTCTGTCTATCTATCTGCAATCTATCCAGAGAAACTATCTCTGCCTGTCATTATCAATATCTACCCCGTCATTATGAATTTACTGTGTTAGCTCATTTGATCCTCATAACAACTCTATGAGGTAGGTAATTCATGTTATTATCTTCACTTCATAGAAGAGGGAACTGAGTCTCAGAGAAGTGGAATGATTTGCACTAGTCCCACAGTCAGTAAGCATCAGAGCCATTTGAACTGAAGCTTTTTTCTATCTACTTTCAGTGCTCTTTCCACCACACCTAATCATTAATACCATTGACTTGGTGCTACTATTTGCAAGGCACTGCAGCCTGCCCCTACCCAAAGTAGATACTGTCTCTAAGGGGCAAGAGACAGCTGAGGAGGATGGCTTCCCCAGTCCAGTCCTTGGAAAGGTTGGGAATCCCACTTTTGCAAGAGCCTGCTGTGCTGATCCCAGTAATCCAGCACTTAGACTTCCTTAAATGATCTTATAATTTTCTGCCAATGAAACCACTTGGCTCAGAGGGCTGGCCCCCTCCAGCCCTGATTTGTCTGTGTCCTATGAATAGCTTTGATTAGAGAATAAAAACTAATGAGGTACAAGTGTTGCTCAGAGCAGTCCTGAGCCCAGCCCAGAAAGGAAGCCAGTATAAGCCAGTGCTATTTCCCAAGTGATCCTGGGTGGGAAGGGCTAATTTAGGGAAAAATGATTGAGTTACAGCCTTGAACAGAGCCCAAGAGAAAGGGCTGGTCATTAACACTGAAGTAGCTGCTTTCCCCTCCTTTACTCCTGACTCCTCCACACATGTTAACCTGTCTCTATGTCAGTCCCCAAGTGTTAGCAACTGACCTTTACTGAATAAGCTCTGATGCTTGACTAGGGTGGTATTTGCATCTTAGGCAAGTAGGGTCATAACTAGACAGGTTCCAATAGTGTAGTCGTGTCTGGGTAAATGCCAGAATGGGGAACCAAGCTGTTGACTCTTCTCCAGCCTCTCACTAGAATTCCATTCCCAACTTTCCCTCCCACCATGAAACTCTCTGAAGTCAAAAGATTATTCCTTTTTCAAAAGACCAACATTAAAGTCCCAGCTACACCAGTTACTAAATGGGTGACCTTAGACAGGTCACATTACTTGCCATCTCATCTTCCAATGCCTCTGTGACCTCACTGATGTGACTATTCCCTACCATGATGTATTCTTTATGACTCTGACCTCTAATTTCCCACAAGGGCAGCTAGGTGGCACAGTTAAATAGAGTGTTGGGCCTGGAATCATGAAGACCTGAATTCAAATTTGACTTTAGACATTTACTAGCTATATCACCCTGAGCAAGTCACTTTTTTGCATTGGTTTCCTTATCTGTGAAAATGAACTGGAGAAGAAAATGGCAAACCATTCCAGTATCTTTACCAAGAAAACCTCAAAAGGGGTCACAAAGGGTCAGACATGGAATAATGAAAATAACTAAACATTGACAATAATGTCCACAAGAGGTCAACCCAATATCCTGGCGGCCTTCGTCAAGTCCTCTTGATATCTTAAGGACGTTAAGGGAGTATATTGGCTTCCCACTGGCTGTTGCTTACTCTCTACGTATCCCAGACAATACCATCTTCTTTTGATCGCACGTGTCTCAAATGGCATCCTTTAAACTGATTCTCCTTTATTGTTTCTTGTGTGGAATGTTTTGCGGACTATTCATGACCATAATATGCCTCTCCATTGCCCTCTAATTGGCGCTCTGCTTCCATTCTCATCTGTAAAATGGGCAAAATAGTACTCTACTGCTCATCTTTGAGCATTGAGGAAATGTGAGCTATTATTACTTTCTGGGTGACATGTTTCCTATGGTGCCTAGTACAAAGGTCTGTGAAGATACCCCAGGAACTAGATAAATGCTCTTGCCAGACTGAAAGTTTAGTAATTTTTATGTAGATATGTACTGGCATAGATAGAGTTGTTTTCCCCATGATGTGGTTATGTAAATTTGGGCCAGAAGCCAAGGGGATCTGGACTTGCATAAGGCTAGAAGTCGCACAAATCTCACCAATTTATTACTGGGCTCCAGTCACCAGCTACAAGGTGTGTCTGTGTGTGGGGGGTGGGGGGGGGATTGCTTCAGGCTATAGAGCTTGCTGCCTGGGGAAATGTTCAACCTTCCTCTAAAATGACAGCAGAAGATCTTAACAACTTTTAATTATTCCCTTTAACCTAAAAAGATTTACCACCTCGATTTCCTTGTCTCTCCCTGCTCAAGAGAACAAATAGTTCCCTATGGCCACTCATGTCAAATTTATGCTCTGTAACCTGGCATTTAAGTCCCTCCCTTGAGTGCACAATGCCTCCTCCCCCAACGCACACATTCTTTTTTCCCCTTTTTTTAAAATACTATTTTATTTTTTCCAGTTACATGGGAAGACAAATTTTAACATTCCTTATAAAAAAAAATTGAGTTCCAAATTTTCTTACTCTCCCTAGTATGGTAAACAATTTGATATAGTTTATATATGTGCAATCATGTAAACCATATTTCCATATTAGTCATGTTATGAAAAAAGAAACAGAAAAAAACATGAAAAAAATAAAGTGAAAATAGTATGCTTTGATCTGCATTCAGACTCCATCAGTTCTTTCTCTGGTGGTGGATAGCATTTTTCATCAATAATGAGTCCCTTGGAATGGTCTTGGATCATTGTATTGCTGAGAATAGCTAAGTCATTCATAGTTGATCATTGTACAATGGTGCTGTTACTGTGTACAATGTACTCTGGTTCTCTCTCTCTCTCTCTCTCTCTCTCTCTCTCTCTCTCTCTCTCTCTCTCACACACACACACACACACACACACACACACACATACATTCTTAACTGTTAAATCTGTTCTACACAGCCTCGTTGCTCTAGCCAGATCACTATCCTTTCCTCTTCTGGATAAGATTTGTTCTTTCCCACCTTGACGTTTTCCTTTAGGGTCTCTCCTAGTTGGTGAGGAGAAAGGGTAGGATGAGGATAGAGTGTGAAAGGTACTATTGGTTATTCTACCCTCTTTGGATAGATAAGAGGACTGGGGTAGGGTGAGAGGAGGACCAGGATCTACCTCATCTCCTCTCTCTCTCTCTCTCTCTCTCTCTCTCTCTCTCTCTCTCTCTCTCTCTCTCTCTCTCTCTCTCTCTCTCTCTCTCTCTCTCTCTCTCTCTCTCTCTCTCCACTTCTTCCCCCAGGGCTCCAGTGCAATTCCTCCATTGACCTCATTGGGACCTGTTGGCCTCGGAGTGCAGCTGGCCAGCTCGTGGTACGGCCCTGTCCTGCCTACTTCTATGGAGTCCGCTATAACACAACAAGTAAGGTTCTGCTTTTGGGAGATGAGGTAACAGGGAGATCAAGGAACTTGTTGACAGTGAGGCAGTCAGAAGTAGAGGGACAAATAATGTGTTATGCTGAAAAAGAGATCCTAGAGTCCTGGGGCCACATCAGGAACCCGATGCCTCCAAAAAGCTAATGGAAAGCCAACTAGATTTCTAGTTAGAAGACCTGAGTTTGAGTTCTACCTCTGATAGGTACTAGCCAGAAGACCTGAATTCAAATCCCAGTTTTATAATTTACAATCCATGTGACCTTGTGATCTCCTGCCTCTTAAGTCCAAAAGTCTATACGCTAAAGTGGATAAGGAAATTAAGGGAAGGAGGAGAAAAGGAAAGAAGTAATTCCAGATAGTGGAAGCCATTGTGGTATAATAGAAAGAGAACCAGCTTTGGAGTCAGAGAACCTGGGTTTAAATTCAATCCCTGGTGCTTAATAACCTATGACCCTCGATTATGGGTAATTCATTTAACTTCTCAGATTTAGTTTCCTTAGCTGTCAAGTGAGGATAATAATACTAACCACTCAGTACCTTATCTTACAGGGTTCTTGTGAGGAAGGCACTATTTTTAAATCCCCAAGCCCTTTATTAATGTCAGCTGTTATTATTTTCCATCTATTGGTGAAGAGAGAGGTGTGGATTGGCACAGGGCCCTCTTTGACACCTGATGCTTGAGGCCCCTGACTCTCTCCTCTCCTGCCCCATGTCTCAGGGCTTTACAGCTCCTTGCTGGAGTTGCTGATGTATTGTTCTGCCACCTGTTTCTCTCCAAATTGATTTGCTTGTATCTCTCAGTGTTACACAGCCCCTGTCTATCTATAGATCAGTAGCTGCAGGGTAGCAGAGTAAGGGCCACATTAAGGATGGAACTGGGGTCTGGTGCTCAGAGTTCTGGGGCTCAGGTTTCCTCTCTGCCAAGGGATGGGGACCTTAGCCCAAGCACGTGATTTCTGATGGTCTCCCCCAGACTCTCCTTTAGCTGAGGTAGTGGTAAAGTGTACCGCTCTCCCATAAGCCATTGTAGGGTCTCGGTTCATTGTATGGACCTCTTTTGTGTCATGGACACCTTTTGGCAGTCTGGTGAAGTCTATAGACCCCTTCTTAGAATAACGTATAATATAAAATGCCTACTATCATAAAGGAAACCAATTATTTTGAAATACAGTTATGAAAATATTTTTTAAAAATAACAAGATCACATGCCCCAAGTTAAGAACCCCCAAGTCTAGGGAGAAATTGGAGACTTTCATGCCTCACTTCGAATTAAGACCCTGAGTTCAGGTCTCAGTTCTACTTACTAGCCATGTGACCTTGAGCAGGTCATGAAATCCTGGAATGCCACAGCTGGAAGAGTGGTCAAAGGTCATTTAGCCCAACCTATGCCAAACTAACCAAACCTTGTCCAATATATCTGGGAAATGTTCACCTAGTCTCTGCCTGAAGACCTTCAGTGGAAAAGAACTCATTTCCTCCAAAGGTAGTGCTTCCCACTTTTGGAAGGCTCTAATCGTTAGTCCTGGAGCTGCTAGGTGGTGCCACAGTGCACAGAGGGCCGGGCCTAGAGTCAGGAAGGCTCGTCTTCCTGAGTTCAAATCTGGCCTCAGACACTTACTATCTGTGTGACTCTGTCAAGTAACTTGACTCTGTTTACCTCAATTTCCTCATCTGTCAAAGGAAACGGCAAACCACTCCAGTATCTGGGCTAAGAAAACCCCAAACGGAGTCACAAAGGGTGGAAATGACTGAAAATGACTGAATAACAGCAATAACAAAATTATTAGGATAATTATTCCTTATGGTAAACTTCAATTTGACTTCCAGCCATTTTTCCTAATTTACCTTTGGGAGCCTAACAGAATGAATCTAATCCCTGTTCCATGTGACAGCTCTTCAAATAATTGCTAAGCCTCCTCTTTCCTGGAGTAAATATCCCCTGGAACCAATCTTCATATGCCATAAACTCAAAGTCCTTTACCATTTGGATTATTCTCCTCTATCTACACTTGGTTACTCTTCTCTAAATACTCACCAGTTTTTCAATGTTTTAGGTATAAAATGGGCAGGGTGACCCATTCTGGAGTTTCAAATAAGGTTCAAAAATCACTTTTCAGTGACCTATAAATGACTGTTTTAACTGTGAATATCCGTGGGACTGGTGGTCAGTATAGGGTGGTGTAGGTCACATCATCATTATAATTTACATTTATATTGTACCTACTATGTGCTAAATATGCTGCTAAGCGATTTACAATTATTATCTCATTTAATCCCTACAATAACCCTGGCAGGTACAAATGAGGAAACTGAGGCAAACAAAGGTTAAGTGACTTGCCCAGGGTCACACAGCTGATAAGTGTCTGAGGCCTGATCTGAACTCAGGTCTTCCTGACTCCAGGGCTTGGTACTCTATCCACTGTGTCATCTAGCTGCACCTTGGGCCTCTTGATTCTTAAGTCTAACAAGTAATCTGCTAAAGAAGTAGAGAAATTAAAGAGAGGGAAGAAGAAAAGAAGGAATACCATGGAATGGGAGGAGGTGTGATGCCCTGGCTCTTGGGTCCAAAGGATCTGGGTTTAAGTCCAGCCACTGATTCTCATCACTGATGAGACCTTGGGCAAGTCACTTAAGTTCTTTGGGCCTCGGTTTCCTCATCTGCAAAACAAGATTGTTGGAATAGATAGCCTCTGAGGTGCAGCCCTTCATAAAAGGATTTGTTCTATAAAACTTGGACTCAGTCAAAAGGCCGCATCCGAGGACCTAGAAGGCCATATGTGGCCTTGAGGTCACAGGTTCCCCACCCTTCCTCTAGAGCTATGATCCTAAAGATGTTTGAGGGGACTGTCTGATGGTCTATTAGCATTTATTGAGTATCTATTCTATATGAAGCACTGTACAGGGAAGGATGGAGTGGGCAAACAACATGGTAAATTAGAGTATTTGATTTTGAGTCTAATGACCTAGGTTCTAATATTGGCTCTAGTGATAACCCTGTTTGGAAAATAAGAATGTTGGCCTAGATGGATCTTCCAGCTTTAAGTCTCATGTTCTGGAGAGCCTAACAAGATTTAACTCTCCCTACCTTACTGGGTTCCTGTGATGAAAAGCTTCCTAAGGCAAGCCTTTAAAAGCACTGAAGAAATATAAGTTAATGATGAAAAGGAAGAATATTAAAGAACCAATGGCAGCATAGGCTACTTTGCCTGATAAGAGGCAGAAAGACTTTGAACTGGGCCCGGAAGGATGTTAAAGATTCGTAAATGAGGCAGAAGAGCATTCCAGAGATGTAGAGAAGACTAAAATAGAGTTAACCTTAAGGGAAGGCTGGAAAATGACTCTCTAATTTCCCCACCCCCCTAAAGATATAACTGCTAAAGTGATTATGATTGTGCCAGAACTATTAACAACATCCAGAAACTCAGAGTCACCTCTACTAATGAAGTAATAATTAATTCATTGCTGAGTGAGGATCTCTGGGTATACTTACTGTGTTCTGTCTTCCCCTTGGCATCAGTCAGCGCTTCTAAGTTTTGGGAAGGATTTCTAAAAATATCAATTTCCCATGATTCCTAGAGGGATACAGCTTGAGCCCAGTAGGGGCCATTGATTAAGAAGGAGGAGGTCATTTTCTTCTTGGGTTTGAATTCAAGGCTTATTTGCACTGTTTTCTTTCACCATCTATGCCACAGGGCTCAGGGTGGTTGGTAGGCTACGGTTCCTATCTGCAGAGACACTAGGAAGAATTCACTCAGTTGAACTTTGGCCCCTGGTCTCAGCTTCCCTAGGTTGGGGAGAGTGCAGAGAAGATGGCCCTCCCCAGGTACAAGCATTAGATTTCCCAGGCTGGACTCCTGACTGCACCGGCCTTTCAGAAAACCCAGTTCCTTCACCCTTATTCCTCTGGGTCACTTCCCCCTGATTTAACAATTAGAGGCCAATCTCCAGGGGGAGTGAGTGGGAGCCAAGGCTGCTAGTCTTCATGGTGCCCAAGGGCCTGGCCTGTTGCTGATGGAACTAGGAAATAACATTAAAAATTCATTTCCCCTGTCTTCCTTATGGAGGGTGTAGCAGCAGGCCTTGCAGAAAGAATGGGGTGAGGTGGAGGGGGGTGGATGGGTGGAACTGTGACTGAGAAGCTGAAGGAAATCCCCTCTTAGAGGATTTGGTTTTGGTACACCCTCTGTGGCTCTTCAGTACCTGGGGAATAGAGCCTGGTCCTCTTAACCTCCAGGGACAGGTACCTGGCCTACTCTGGTTGCAAAAGATTTGCCGCCTCACCCCACCCTCCTCTCATCTCCTAAGGACTAGCTTCTCTGCCTTGCAGAATGCCTCAGGCCGTCTAGCTAGGGAACAAATCTTCCTTGTTTCTGCTAGGGTGCTTTGTGATCTGAGGAAAGAAGACATTCCTGAAGCTAGGAGGGACTCTCTAAATCTTCATTTTAGAGAAGGAAACTGAGGCCAAGTTATGGTTAAATCTTTTTCCCCAGAGACTCCAATTTCATCAATGTGGGAAACTCCCCACGTGGAAACTCCCTCCACCAATCTAAATTGACTATTTATCCTTATAGCTGCCTGGAGTCATAGATAGTGTGTGTCAGAAGCAGTACCTGAGCCCAGGATCCCTGTGATTCTAAGGCTGGCCCTTCATCCGTTATACCCCATGCCTTTGAAGTAATAATAGTATCTTCTTTGTACAGGTTGTCTCAAAAGGCTTAGTGCAGTTTTGAGCTCTTAGAGCTGAAAAGCTTGAAGAACCCTCAAAGCTTAAAACTGCACTAAGACTTTAGGGACACCCTCTGGGGGGGGGGAGACCTGTGGCTCAAGGCTTTGAGGTTCCAACCTATTTTCGCATCCATCTGACCCTTTGCACAACTCTGTAGGGCAAGAATTACAGGCATCTCCATTTCACAGATGAGAAAACTAAGACTTAGCAAAAGCCAAATTGCTTGCCTGAGATCACATAGCAAGCAAGTGTCTGATCCAGTGTCCCAACTTCAGCTCCAGGGGTAGTGTTCTTGTCCCCACGCTAGCCTGCCCCTTTAATAAAAGCTCAACTTCAAAGAATTTAGAATTTCTCTTCTGATTTGAACCACGTCAACGATTTTGTTAGCTAGGTGAAGTTATAATTAATCATTATTTTACTGATAAGGAAACCAAAGCTATGAATGGTCAAGAGACTTAGTGCCTTAAGGTCTCATAGCTATGAAGCTATGAAGAGTCCAGATTGGAAGCCAGGTTTCCTGATACCCCAGGTCAGCGGTCCATGCTGGGTTTACAGAAAGATCCAGTCTCCTAATCTCTCCCAGCCCATCCTCTTTGCCTTGACTTCCTGGTGTGGAGGTGTGATCTGACAGGCCAGAGATGGACATTAGAAATTCATAAGTAGCGGAGAGAAGGTGATGAACAGTGCTGTGCTTATCTGTCATCTACTCTTCTCCATCCCAAGTCAGACCTGCGAAAGAAAAGCTCACTGAAGCCTCCTTCCTTAAGCTGTTAATGCTGCTAATGCACCTAGAAAAGTGTCAGCAGGCACTGGAGTAATGCTAGCAGGAGAAGGAGAAAAGACTTCCAGATTTCTTCTCCTTCCCTGCTGGGGTCCCTCTGGCCCTTGTGCTCCAAGATGGGGGCTGGGAATCTCAGGCAAAGGAGGATGGATTGGTGCCAGCTGGAGAGAGGATCGGGGAGGCAAGTGGGAGTGGGGAGGGCTCAACAGAAGAGAAATCAAACTAACAGCTCCTCAAAGCAAAAAGGGGTAGTGTGAGGGTAGGGAGCCCAGCACCAATAGTGCTAAGGGGGAGCTCTCTGCTGCTTCCTCACCCTCCAGGCTTTGGGGAGCAGTAAGAGCTCTTGGTGGGCAGCTAGGTGGCACAATGGTTAGAGCACTAGGCTTGGAATCAGGAAGACTCATCTTTCTATTGGCTGTGTGACCCTAGGCAAGTCACTTAATCCTATTTGCCTCAGTTTCCTCATCTGTAAAATGAACTGGAGAAGGAAATGGAAATCCACTCCTTTATCTTTGCCAGGAAAACACCAAATGGGGTCATGAAGAGTCAGACACAACTAAAATGACTCGACATTATTATCTAGAGGGAGGTTCCTTACCTTGGAATTTCCCTATAGTAATACAGCTCCTGTCTCTGTCCCCCTATATTATCACCATGTGAAAGGCTTTAAAGGAACCACATCAGAGGAGCTGGCCCAGGTGAACCCAGTGTCTCATGCCTTGCAGAGAAGTAAAGCTTTAGTCTCTCAGGCCTACACAAGAGCTCCCCCGCACCCCCCCGCCGTGTCTAGTGGGTAGCTAGCAGGTAGATAGGTTCATGGCAGCAACTCTTCTGCCCCTACCATACCCCTGTCAGGCCTGAAGTCAGAACTGCCCTTAGCAAAGCAAGGTCCCAAAAGAGTCTCCCATCAAGGCAGATGATGCCTCACCTTTACGGGCCCCTTACCTTGAAGATCCTGATCCATCCCTTCTCTACAGGCTAACCATAAGAGATGAGCTTCTCCCCAAACATACCTTGTGAATCATCCCATCATCTCTCTCTTTTTCTCTTTTCCAGACAATGGCTACCGGGAATGTCTTGCGAATGGAAGCTGGGCAGTACGAGTCAACTATTCTCAGTGCCAAGAGATCCTTAACGAGGAGGTATAATTTGCCTCTATCAGTTGATTCCCTGGAGGATGCACCCTGGACTGGAGCTGGGTGGGGGAAGACTGAAGGACAGGGAAGGTAGGGAGGGAAGTGGCTCAGAGGGGATTGGAGAAGAAGGAGAGAGTGTGGAAAATGAAGGAGTTGATCATAAATGGGGGCAGCTAGGTGGTGCAGTGGATAGAGTGCTGGGCCTGAAGTCAGGATGACTCCTCTTCATGAGTCCAAATCCTACTTCGGGCACTAGCTGAGTGACCCTGGACAAGTCATTTAACCCTGTTTGCCTCAGTTTCCTCATCTGTAAATGAGCTAGAGAAGGAAATGGCAAACAACTCCAGTATCTTTGTCAAGAAAATCTCAAACAGGGTCAACAAAGAATCCAATATGACTGAAAAAACGACTCCACAGCAACAAGAAATAGTAAAGGGTATTAATGGTGGAAAGAGCAGTGGGACTTGGCATCAGAGGACCTGGGTTTGAGTCCTGGATCTTTTATTTATTACCTGTGTGACCTTGAGCTAGTTGCTTAGCTTCTGTGGGGACCTCATTTTCCTGCTTTGTAAAATGGAAGGGCTGGATTAGATAACTTCAAATGTTTCTTCCAGACCAAAATCTATGATCCCATGATAGACTGTAATTTAATCCTTCCAACAGCCCTGCTAGGTAAGTGCTATAGATTGTATGATCTTAGTTTTATAGATGGGGAAACTGAGGTGCAGAGAAATCAAGTGACATAAAAATAATAGCGACCCTGTACCGAGTGTCATAGTGCAAAAGTCATAGTGCAGCTTTATGCTTTAATAACCTAAAACCGCAGTAAGACTTTTGGGGAACACCATAGTGCAAAATTATAAAAATCATATTAGATTTCATATTATAAATTCATTTTAAATATATTATACAGATATTAAAATATATTATAAACTTACTTAAATATATTATGAACTTATTTAAAATATAAACTTATTTAAAATATATTATAAACTTATTTAAATATATTATGAACTTATTTAAAATATAAACTTATTTATAATATATTATAAACTTATTTAAAATATATTATATTATAAACATATTTAAATGTATGCTATTATTGAATTATAGCTACCACAGTTTGCAAAAAGCTAGGCATATCTTATCTCATTTGATTTTCACAAAATGACTTCGGTGATATTATTAGCTCTCTCCATTTTATACATGAGGACACTAAAGAGGCTGAGCAATGCTACGTGACTTGTTCCAGAGTCACACAGCTAGTAAACGTTTGTGGTTCGTGCACTCCAAATCTAGAATTCTATCTCCTGTGCCCTAGCACTGGCTTTAAACATTATAATAAATAGGTAACATTATCCTCACTAGAATGAGGCTACAGGAGAATCAGAATTCAGAGTCAAAAGTTCACCAGGTTCCAAAGCATCCACATAAATCACAGAAATCTTGTGATTTTAATCTCATGGTAGAGATGCAAATGAAAAATCCTCCCTAGGAAGTAAGAACATTGAACTTTTAGAATCAGGAAATCTGGGTTGATTCCTGTTTCTCCCATTTCTTGATTATATAACCTTAGAGAAGTCATTTCTTTTCCCAGGGCCTCAAAATTTCTTCATCCATAAAAGGAGAGGATTGAATGAAGCATATTGAATAAAGTCCCTTGTAGCTCTGATATTCTCTGATTCTGTTTGACTCAAGTGTTGGAAAGGAATGGCATTATGAGGGTAGAGATTCCCTTCTGGGAAAGATGACTGGAGCTAGAGAGAAGATGGACTGGACCAGAAGGGAGGATCAATAGGAGAGATGGATGAGGCCAGTTGTTGGAATTTTTCTTAGAAAGTAGAAATAGAAAAAAAATATATAAGTTGTGGTTGGAAAATAATTATGACTCTCCTGTGGGGAGAGAGACATCAAAACAGTGGCTCTTAGACATGGGTGGGATGGGGCATTTCAAAATCAGAAAGTAGGAACTTCGTCCCAGCTCTGGCACCCAATGGCCCTAGACACCCAGGAAAGGAACTGAAGGGAATTATAGAGAGGCAGGTGCTCTTCTGACCCAGCCTTTAGGACAGACAGTCATCTCTATGTTTAGTTTTCTTAAAGATCTCTAAAGACAAAGAGCCCTCCTTCAGCCTCCTTTACTGTTTTTGTTCCCTTGGCTATCCAGGAGTTCTTGGTTATATCCAAGCTGAATCTCTTCTGTTCTAATTTCAACTCCTTTCATCCTGTTTGTTTGGTTTTTTTGCTGACATAGAAACCAGTTGTTCAGCATCACCATCAGAGTCACCGTGCATCACTGACTTGAAAACAGAAGCTGATGCCCCCTGAACCTTCTTTTCTACAGGCTAAATGATCTTTCATCTTTTATCTGTTCAGTATAGCACAAGGGTTAGCACCTTCTTCCATGAGTAAATATAATTTTCCCCTAATCATAAAACTTAGCTTGTCTGAGCTGAGAGCAGCTAGGTGGTACAGGGTACACTACAGTAGAGCACTGGGTTGGGAATCAGGAAGACTCATCTTCCTGAGTTCAAATCTGGCCCTCAGATACTTACTAGCTGTGTGATCCTGGGCAATTCACTGAACACTGTTTGCCTTAGTTGCCTCATCTGTAAAATAAGCTGGAAAACCACTCCAGGATCTTTGCCAAGAAAACCCAAAATGGCGTCACAAAGAGTCAGACACAACTGAACAACAATGAGCTAGACAGGACTACCTTAAAGATCATATAATCCAGTAGGGTCAAGCTTCAATAGAAACAGCACCCACTCAACCGTATATAAGGATCCATCACAATGACTTAGAAAACTACCTATTGCTATTATCTATATTCTGTACATCTATTATCAGTTTTATGTTTTGTTAAATATTTCCCAATTGCATTTTAATCTGGTTCAGGCTGCACTCAGGAATGTTGTGGGCCATATGTGACCTATGAGCTGAGAGTTTGACATCTCTGACAATAGTTTATTTTTTTTTAATTTAAAAAATATTTTTATTTGAAGTTTTGAGTTCCAAATTCTATCCTACCTTCCTTCCCTCCCCTCCCTGAGATGATAAATAATCAGATATAGGTTATACATGCATAATTATGTAAAATATTTCACTATTAGTCGTTTTGTGTAAGAGGACTTAAAGAAAAAAATGAAAGAAAGAAAGTGAAAAATAGCATGCTTCTGTCTGTATTCAAACAACATCAGTTCTTTCTCTGGAGATAGATAGTATGCTTCATCATTAGTCCTTTGGGATTGTCTTAGATCATTGTATTGTTGAGAATAGCTAAGCCATTCGCAGGTCTTCATCAAACAATATTGCTGTTACTGTGTACAACGTTCTCCCAATTCTGCTCACTTTGCTATGTATTGGTTCATGTAAGTCTTTCCAGATTTTTATGAAATCATCCTGCTTATCATTTCTTAGAGCAAAATAATATTCCATTACCATGCCCCAGTTAATGAGAATTCCTTAGGTTTCCAATTCTTGGCCACCACAAAAAGAGCTGCTTTAAATATTTTTGTACAAATAGCTCCTTTTCCCTGTTTTTGGATGTCTTTGGAATATAGACCTAGCAGTGGCATGGCTGGATTTTGACACTAGTTCCTAGTCCAACCCCATCACTTTATAGCTGAGTACTCAAGATCCAAGGAAGTAAAATGATTGTGAGTTTTGCCATGGCTAGAACACCTGTTTCCCTGACTCCCAGCTCAGGGCTCTTCCAATCAATCAATCAACAAGCATTTATTAAATGCATACTGTGACCTAGGTACTGGCAATGCAGATACAAAAAAAAATTTTCATCTTTGCTCCTGAGGAGCTTACAATCCACAACACCAAAGCTACTTCAAATTAAAGAGCTACAATCTTTTGCATCCCCTTTTTTTCCCCCAAGCTCATTGACACAACTACCTGACAAGATAGTGCTGTATCAGTGGCTTCTAACCACATTCCTCTCTGTGTTGTAGGTACCCATAAGCCAGGACTTAGAGAGAAGAGGGGGGCTGCCAGACAAGAGGAGCAGCAAGTGCAATCGTTTATACAGAAGAGAGATAGTATCATGTAGCCAGAAAACCCCAACATCTTTTCCTGGCTCTGCTGCTCATTTACTATGACCATGGGCAGCTCACCTACCTATCTTGCATGTACAATTTTTGCACATCGTCTCTCCTATTACCTCCCTGAGATCAGACTCTCTTTTTTATTTTTTGTCATTCTTTGTATCCCCAGCACTTAGCACAGTGCCTAGGCACATCATAGGCACTTCATAAAAGCTTGTCGGCTGATTTCCTTTCTTTGAGCTTCACTGTCCTATGTGAAATGAAAGGGTTAGACTAGATTATCTTCCTGTTCTAAAACTCAGTGATTCTGTGAGTTGATCTGGAAGACTGACCAATCATTCATTCTCAAGTTGTTGGGGACTCCTGCCTAAGGAACTAGCCTTCATCCCTTTAAACCTTTAGGTCTCCTCTCTTTGTACCCTCTACAGTTTCTCCATATTCTCTTTAAAATTCAGAGACCAAAACAGAATCAGTCCCTGCTGGCCTGTCAATCAGCCCTTCTTTCACTCCTACCATCATAAACAATGAAAGTGCTGCCATCCGCATCTGCTCTGCCAGCCGCTACCATCCTGCACAGTTGCTTAGCATTCAATATAATCAATCAATTTAATTAGTAGAAGGACCATCCCCTTACACTAATTCCCTCTATGTTAGCCCCTCACTCCTACGTGGAGATCTTCACCCCTAGCTCTCTCCAGGAGCTGAGAGGAAAAGTAGCCAATTAATTGAGGTGATAGGTTTCTCCAGCTTCTAGATCACCTTGGCTAAGCCCTAATTAAGTGTCAGTGCCCCTGGGGCATTTTGGATAATAGATTCATGGAAAAGTCCATGTGAAATGGGACTTGTGAAGACACAGGGAGCCCAGGAGACATTAACTGCAGGCTAGAAGACATCTAGCCCCGCTCACCACCAGTGTACCAGACTCTGATTCAGTACCTCCCCTCTTTGGACAGCAACTGTCCTCCACTCATTGTACATCAACTCCTCCTCCTTCTCTTGCATCAATCCCTATCTCCCCCACCTCACCCCATTCATAATAGCAATCTCCTTCTTTGTAGCAATTTCCTCTAATGACACTTTTCCAGGCCCCCATCTCTGCTCCACCACATAAATACACACACACACACACACACACACACACACACACACACACACACACACTTGTGGAGGACACTCAAAGAGGGAAATCTTTGCTCATGTCCCAGGACTTACCTGTTCACTGGTAGAGTTGAGGGTATAAACAGCCCCAGAAAGACAGGTATGGGAATGAGAAATTCATGAAACAGACTGAGGGTGGAGGGACAGGAGTTGGGGGAGGAGCGTGAGAGGAGGACAGGGAGAAAAGGAAGGAGGAAAAGGAACAGAAGAAAAAGATCAGGGCTAAGAGGGTTCAAATGTGTCAGTGAGGTATGCTTAAGGGATCCCAGGACAGACATACCTTGATTTCCTGCCTGGTGTAGGAAAATATGGTCTTATGAATACTGATTAGAACAGGAGGATGTAGGTAAACTATTAATTCTGCTGCTCAGGTGGCCTCCCAAGCCCTTGAAGACAAGGTTTGCGTCACCCAGCAAGTCTGGCAGCTTGTCTCTGAATTGGACAAGTTCTAATTGCTTATTGAATTCTGGTTGTTGCTGACACAGTTAAGGGGCTCTGACCCCCAATACCACCCTGCTAAGAGGAGGCCCACAGCTGGGTTATGGCTCCTCTCTTCTCTGCAGCAGCAATTTGATTGTCTGGGACACACCCAGGACAAAGACAACAACTGCTCCTTGGACACATAACCCAGGGGCCCAGAGGCTGCCTCTGGCTCCAACTCTTTCTCTGTCTCCAACCATCTCTCATTTTTCTGGTTATCTCTGCTGATCTCCAGCTGTCTCATTACTCTTCCCTGGCCATCTCTAAGATTATCTCTTCAGCTCTATCTTGGGCTGTCTCTCTTGTTGTAGCTCACACTACCTCTACTTGTCTTTGCCTATATTTCTCCAGCTACAGCTCAAGCTGTCTCTCCAGCTGTCTTGGACTGGATCCCCCATCTCTCAAATAGTTTATCCAAGTGTCTCCTTGGTTGTGTCTTTGGCTGTCTCTCTAACTAGCTTCATTTCTCTATCTGTATCTCAGGCTGTCTCTCTGGTTGTCTTGAGATGGCTCCTCATTCCCTCTTTCGCTGGCTATGACTCTCCAGCTGTCTCTGTTCCTCTCTCTCAGGCTGTCTCACCAGCTGTCTCCACTTCTCAGACTGAGCTCAGAGACCTCAAGTCTAATATAATATGTTAAGGGGGATGTTGGGTCAGGCTCATTGCTTCTAAACCCCAGAGCTGACACTGAGGAAACTCTTTCTCCTCACCCCTAACCCCTATCAATAATATTGTTGAGTCTTATTCTCCCCTTCTGGTTCCTTGGGGGGAAAAGCCTGTCAGCCACTCAGATGGTTGAGGGGGAGAGGAAAAAGCCAAGATTTCCCACCTTAGTAGAACTGTAAAGACTCCAAGACTGAGGGAAGAAGAACTCCAGGATTGAGAGGTAGAATTCACCTTATAAATCATCTAGCCCAACCCCTGGGGCAGGTAGGGAGTGCAGTGGTTAGAGTATTGGATCTATGTTTAATAGGAATGTATGTCAGATTGCGTGCCATCTTGGGGAGGGGGAGAAAAATTTAAAACTCAAAAGCTTATGGAAGTGATTGTTGATAAATCAAAATAAATAAATTGATAGAGTATTGGACCTGGAGTTTGGGAGACTCATCTTCCTGAGTTCAAATCCCACCTCAGATACTGATTAGCTGTGTGGCCTTGGGCAAATCCCTTAACCTGGTTTTGCCTCAGTTTCTTCATCTGTAAAATGAGCTGGAGAAGGAAATGGCAAACCACTCTAGTTTTTCTGCCAAGAAAACCCCAAAGAGGGTCAAAAAGATTCAGACATGACTGAAATGACTCTATAACAGCAAAAAAAAAAAAAAAGGATATTCAGTTGGAATTGTCCAATATGTGGTTGGTGATGTGTGACTGGATCTCTTGAAAAGAGACAGGAGTTAAATTTATGTAGATTTGGGAGTCATCTGCATAAAAAAGACATTTAAACATATTAGGGCTGATGAGGCCATTGACAGAATATAGATAGAGAAGCCATGAGAGGCCTGTAGAGAGCCTTCAAGTTGTCAACCTAAGCAACCCCAGGCAAGTTATATAATCTCTAGTTTTCAGTTTCCTCGTCTGCAAAACGAAAGGGTTGGACTTTGTTGTTGTTCAGTCATGTCTGACTCTCCATGACCCCATTCTTAGCGAAGATACTGGAGTGGTTTGCCATTTCCTTCTCCAGTCCATTTTACAGATAAGGAAACTGAGGCAAACAAGGTTAAGTGACTTGCTCAGGGTCACACAATTAATGAGTGTCTGAGGTTGGATTTGAACTCAGGAAGAGGAGCCTTCCTGACTCCAAGTCCATCACTGTATGCACTATGAGCGAGCACCATTTAGCTGCCCCGGGCCCTAGTTTAAGGCATCCGCTTTGCCTCCAAGATAAAATATAACCCTAAGACCTTCACAACCTGGCCCCAACCTACCACTTCAATCTCATTACACCTTACTCTTCTACGGTCCAGCCAAATGGACCTTTTTGCTGTTCCTTACACATAGCGTCTCCTCCCTTTGCACTGGCCATCCCCATACCTAAAATGCAATCCTTCCTCATTTCCACTTCTTACAATCCCTTATTTCTTTCAAGATTCAAATACCACCTTCTACATAAAGCCCTTCCTAGAGGCAGCCAGATGTCACCATGGGCATGTTGCTGGGCCTAGAATCAGGAAGACCAAATCTAGTTCAAATCCAGCCTCAGACACTTACCAGAAGGGTAACTCTGGGCAAGCCATTTAATCACCACCTGCCTCAGTTTCCTCAGCTGTAAAATGGGGATAATAATAGCACCTACCTCCCAGAATGGTTGTAAGGCTCAAATGAGATAATATTTGTAAAGTGCTTAGCATAGTGTCCAGCACACAGTAGGTGATTAATAAGTGCTCATTTCCCTCCTTCCTGATATCCTCCAACCTCTAGGACCTGCCTCACCTAACAACCTTATGCTTATTCTGTGTTTATTCTGTTATATTTATGTGTGTACGCTTTGTCTCCCTCATAGCATATAAAGGACCTTGAGAACAGGGATTACTTCATCTTTGTCTCCCCATCACCATCACTCAGCAGCATTCTTAGCATAGAACAGTCATTCACTAAATGTTTGTTCATTGAGGGACTAATTGAGAACTAGCAAAGCCAGGATTCAAACCCAGCTCCTCCAGTTCCCAACCCATTTGCTCTCTCTACTCCAGTAACTTTCCACCAGAGGAGATTTTCTGCTGTTCGTCTGGGTACCACCCCACCCCAGACTACTCTCTCCACCCCAAGGCTGACCCACAGCCCTTTGGGAATAACTGTGGGGACTGAAGGAAGGATGTAAAAACGACAGGGTCAGGACAGAGTGGAGTGGAGGGAGGGGGCGTCAGGAAGGTGAGCATTTTGTGTGCAGCAATGTTTATCTGCCAGGAGAGTGCCCTGATGGACAAAGATGGGCCATGTGTGGGCTATGGCACCACAAATGCTATTATCCAGTGCATTTTTGATGTGGGCTTCTGGAAAATTTAATAAAGCAAAATTAAGAATCAGGTCCAGACAGACTGTGATATGTATCTTCCGGATGCTCCCGGGCTCAGCCTCTATTGCTTTATGGGCCGAGAACATTTCCATTGACATTAAGCAATTATATCTCCCCATTCTTCCTCCTACCACTATTCACACCCCTGACTGGTCCCAATCCGGTCAGTTGCCCACTATGCTAATCCTCTGTGTTCTTTGTAGTTTACTCTGCAACCTCTTCAGGAACCATCCTGGTGATGTTTCCTGGAATCCTAGGCCTGAAGAGCAAGTAGGACTTCCTGGATTAGGGGTTAGCACCCGCTACCAGAGATTCAGCGAGTTGTTTTCAGTAGTGGCGATTGGAAATACTGAAACATCGTCTGTTCCCTGTTTCCCTCTTGACTATATCATAAGCTGACTGGCCAGAGTTAGGCCCACATGTCTGCAAGGTGGCTGCTTAAAGTCAAGGAGTCATAAGGTAATCGTTGTTCAGTTATTTTTTTAGTCATATCCAACTCTTCGTGACCTCATTTTGGGTTTTCTTGGCAAAGATACTGGAGTGGTTTGCCCTGTCCCTCTCCAGCTCATTTTACAGATGAGGAAACTATGGCAAACAGGGTTAAGTGACTTGCCCATTATCACACAGATAATAAGTATCTGAAGCTGGATTTGAATTCAAGTCCTCCTGACTCCAGAGCCAGCGCTCTAACCACTGTACCACTTAGACGTCTTTAAAGACAACTTTTAACATTCATTTAAAAAATTTTTTGAGCTCCAAATTTTCTTCTTCCATCCCTCCTTCGCCTCCCCCCTCCCTAAGATGGTAAGCAATTTGATATAGGTTATATATGTGCAATCACGTAAAACCAATTTCCATATTAGTCATGTTGTGAAAGAAAAAAACAGACTGAAAGGAAAAAACCATGAAAAAATAAAGAAAGTGAAAATAGTATGCTTTAATCAGCTTTCGGAATCCATTGATTCTTTCTCTGGAGGTGGGTAACATTTTCCATCATAAGGTAGATTAAATGGTAAGTGTCTGGGGACACTTTCCTCTTTTCCCCTTTTTCCTCATTTCCTCTCTTTTCCTTTGTATAGAGAAAAAGTAAACTGCACTACCATATTGCTGTCATCATCAACTACCTGGGTCACTGTATCTCCCTCGGAGCCCTCCTCATGGCCTTTGTCCTCTTCATGCACCTAAGGTGAGAAGATCCTCGAATCGTCAATGGGAGTTAACAGGGACTTTGGAAACCATCAAAGCCAACACCTTCCTTTTACCAGTGAGATTTCAGCATAGAGACCTTAAATGACATGCCCAAAGTCACAAGGCTAGGAAGTGTCAGAGGAAGGATTTAAACTCATGTCTTCCTGACTTTAAATTTAGTGCTTCCTGGTACTCCCCAATTAGGGCTAGAACTAACTAACATTCTGTCCCTCCCACTCTGCTCCCATCAATATATCTAGGTACAATTAGGTTAGAAAGTGTATCAAATCTTAAAAGCAGAAGCAAATCCTCCAAAAGTGTCCTAAATGAAGTGGGGAGGGGGGAGTAAAATGTGACCAACCTCCTTCACTTTCGCAAGGTGGATAAGAGTGGGGAGAAATAGGTTGATTACATGTATTTTAACTTTAGATTTTTTCCGATAATAATAATAATGATGATAGATGCTATATAGCTGATAATAATAGATGCTTTGTAAATGCTAAGTATTATTAATAACAGCAACAATAATAATCACTAATATATATGGCGATTTAATGTTTCCCAAGTGTTTTGCATGCTGTCTTATTTGATCCTCACAACAAATGGTAAGGTAGTAGTGGTTATTATCCCTATTTGACAAATGAGGAAATGAAGGCTAAGAGTTTTTGCCTGTCATCACATAGCTAGCAAGTATCTAAGGGAGGATTTGAACTCAGGACTTCTTGACTCTTAAATTCCATATTCTTTCTATTTTGCCACCTAACTATCTCGCTCTGCTAAGTCTCTTCTCTTTCCCAACTCTTTGCTTCTCTTTTTAACTATTCAGCTGCCATCATGGAGTGTGAGAAGTGATATAAGGGCCGTAATGCACCAGGCTCTAATTCACTACTCCCAAGGGATGAGATGGTTCTGCTTCACTCTCACCCACCCCAGAGAGCCCTTCATCTGCTCTGCCCCCCCATCTATACAACCAGGGCCAGGTTGGTGGGTCAGAGTGAGAACCCCCTAGCTAGGAGCCGACTGCTGGCAGGGCCTTCAGCAGGCTGGCAACAGCACCCCTCAGACGTGCGTGTGTGGCAGCAGCAGCGCCTGTTGGCAGGGATGGAGGCCTCAGTGCCAGACATTTCTGTGCCAAGCCCCAGTCAGTACCACATTGCTATGGAATAGGATGAAGAAGGATGTGAGAACTGTCACTCAGAGCTAAGGCAGATGCTCCTGGTGAGGGGGAGCAGAGCCTCCTGCCTCCAAATGACCCTAGGAACCAAGAGCTATTGTTTGCCCTTAATCCTAGGGAACCAGCCAGCTCTGGTGCAGAACAGTCAATGGGGATGGGGGCAGGAAAGCCATGTTCCCATGTGTCTGGCATTGCCAACTTCCCTGCATTGACATCTTATTTGAGAAGCTAAGGACAACAGCTACCGTGGCTGGATTGGGGGCTGGGAATAGGCAATGATCAAAGAGACTTGTCTTTAGGATTCTCTATCCTGTCCCAGTAGATTCTCCACCTTCTGGTCATTCATAGCCTTAATGGGTCCCTCCCCATAGAACTGCTTCCTCCCCAGTCCGAATTCACATACTTCTTTTGCTCCTCCTCCTCTGATGCAGAATGAATATTGGCTATTCTCCAGTTCACAGACTCCTAGTATGCCAGAAATGGAAGAGTTTATAATTCTGGTCCTTCATTTTTAAAGCAGAGGTGTGAAACTCATCACCTTAGGGCCACCCAACATTCCTGAGTGCAACCCTAACCAGATTAAAGTGTAATTGGGAAATAGTTAACAAAATAATTAAAAATTCAATAAAATATAGATATTGCATAACTAAGTCAACATGAAGCCCGCGGGAATGGCCCAGGTTTCTATTTGAGTTTGACACCACTGTTTTAGAGAAAAAAACTAAGATTCAGAGAGGGGAAATGATTTGCTCTAATCTTACCCCAGTGTCCCTGAAAGGACAAGGTTCATTGTCTTATTACCTACGTGATATTAGGCAAATTATTCCCTATCCCTGGGCCTCAGTTTTCATATCTGTAAAATAAAGGTATTGGACTGGATCGGGAATTCTTAATTAGAGGCCCAGGAACTTGAATGGGAAAATATATTACATCTTTATTTCAACATAATTTGTTTTCTTTGTAATTCTACGTATTTTATTTTATGTACCCAAAAATATTTTTCTGAGAAAGGGTCCATTGGCTTCACCAGCCTGTCAAAGGAGTCTATGATACAAAAAAAAAAAAATTAAGAACCCCTGCACTAGATGGTGGCCCAGTGGATGGAGCACCGGACCTGAAGTCAGGAAGACTCGTCTTCCTGAGTTCAGATCTAGCCTCAAACACTTACTAGCTGTGTGACCCTGGGCAAATCATTTAACCCTGTTTGCCTCAGTTTCTTTATCTGTAAAATGAACTAGAGAAGAAAAAACGACATACCACTCCAGTACCTTTGCCAAGAAAACCCCAAATGGGATCACAAAGAGTTGAATACAACTGAACAATAACAAAATTTCTGTTAGTTGTCTGTCTGTTTTGAATACCAAACCCTTACCAGTGTTATTTGGTTTTTTCTCAGTCAACTGCTTCCAAAGTACTTAAAAAATTTTTTTTAATTCAAAGAGTATTTCTTGAGCACATGCTGAGTACTCAATGTTGTGCTTGGGTAGTGTTGGAAGAACAAGAGAATTATGAGATGTGATCTCTGCCCTCAAGCTGTTTATTATCTAGCTACAGAGACAAAACTTAGACAAGCACAGAATCTTAGAGACATTGTAGAAGGGTGTAAAATGTGTTGGACTTGAGAGTCAGATAGAACTAGGTTCAAGTCTCTCCACCCCCTCCCCGCCATCAGCTCTACCAGTGGACACTGGGCAAGTCATTTCACTTTTCTGGTCCTCTGTTTCCTTATATATCAAATGAGGAAATTGACCCCTATCATCCTATTCTACTCAACCATTCTGCATTTCTTTGAAGTGCTGGCAATGGGTGCTGTACGAGAACAGAGCAGAAAGAGATTAAATTAAGGCTGAACTGGATTCCATTTTCTAGAATCGTTTATGGAACCCATGGTTTATTCCAAGGTAGTTCTAGTGGGCCATGCAAGGTAACAAGACTCTGAGTACTCAGCCCGCCAGTACATCTAGCCCTTCAGTGTTCCCTCCACTTTGGCACCTTCCACCCAGCTGATATTCCAGTTCTGCCACTTCTCTTAGGTGATGGTCATCTGAAGCAGGTGCCCACAACTTTGCCCCGCCAATCCTTATCACCAGGAAGAGGTCCCTGGGCACAGGGATCTAGGACAACAGGAGACAGATTTGGGGAAAGGGATGAGGTGACTGGAAGAAAGAGGAGAGGGAACAAGCATCTCCCTGCTCTATCTAGTTTCCAACAAGTATTTATTTAGTGCCCACTGTGTACAAGGCACTGTGCTGGGGATATGAACACAAAAAAAGAATGGCAATGCCTGCCCTAAGATGGGGAGGGTTGAAGGACTGAGGTGGGCAGGGATTAGGGTTGGTCAGATCAGAAAGGGGTTCACTGCCTTCTCTGGCTGACTGGTATACTTTTTGCCTTCTTCTTCTACCTCCCTATCTTGCTTTCTGTCTCCCCTTCCTCCTCTCTACCCAAAGGAGCATCCGGTGTCTTCGAAACATCATTCACTGGAACCTCATCTCTGCCTTCATCCTACGCAATGCTACCTGGTTTGTGGTGCAGCTCACCATGAGCCCTGAAGTGCACCAGAGTAATGTGGTATGTACATCCTGGCCAAGGCACGGTCTAGGTCTGGGAGTTGGGGGCTGCTATGAGGTGGGAGAGGGGATTGGAGGAGACAGGACTAGAAGCAGGGGACAAAGATAGATGACCTCCAAGGGGAATAAAGCAGAGCTGATATTTGACCCACAAAAACAGAGGTCTTTTCATTTGCAGACAGCCGTAGGAACTTAGAATCAGAAGAGATTTCAGAAATCATCCAGGCCCAATCTTTCTCCTAGTGCAGGAATCCCTTAAGAAGCAGCCCTGACAAGTGGTCACAAATTGGGTCAAAGCCTTGGCTGTCCAAAATTGGATTAGACCCGGAGGCTTCTTCCTTCCTCTTTTCCCTATTCTTCTCCCGCAGCTAAGGCCATTTGGGGGGACTGAACCCAGAAGAGAGGTTTTGGGGAGCTGATAAGTATTCTTCAAGTCTTTTCCTCTAAATGCCCCCTGGGAGCCAAGGCTGCTTTTTGCCCTTCTTTCTGAGGGATCTGCTGGCTCTGGTGTGGAGGAATCAATGGTGGGGATGGAGCAGGACGAGGACCCAGTTCCTTGTGTCGCTGCTATCACCAACTTTCCTCCACCAATAATCCTATTTAGGAAGTTAAGACTGGTAGACGCAGAGGCACAATTAAGGACTGGGGATGGACAATGATAAAAGCTGCTTCTAGCCCTCTCCCCTCTAATCTCTGGTTGCCTAATCCCCAATGTCTTCTCTGTTGTATAGGGCTGGTGCCGGCTGGTGACAGCTGCTTACAATTATTTTCATGTTACCAACTTCTTCTGGATGTTTGGAGAAGGTTGCTACCTACATACAGCCATCGTGCTCACCTACTCTACTGACAAGCTCCGAAAATGGATGTTCATCTGTATTGGCTGGTGTGAGTGTGATAGCCAAGAATCGTGTCTCACTGGCTCCTGGGCACAGCGCCCACCAGCTCCCATCCTCCCTTCCCACCCATACACACTCATACCCATGGATGAGGTGGGTGGAGAAGGAGAATGGGGAGAGGATAGCTGATGCTGCCCTCTGGAGTTTCTCTGTAGAGAAGACTCCTCTCATCTTCATGTGGCTCTCTCTGTAGCAAGACTTCCCATTCCTCTTCTCCAGCTAGAAGTAAGGCCCATTTGGAGAACCCTGAAGGACAGTAACTGGGAAAGAAGAGTGTTACCCTAGGTGGGACACTTCAGAAGCATGTGGGGCCATGTATCAAGTTGGGATACAGTGGGGCACTTAGCCTATTTTATGGAGCTGAGAGCAAGCAGTCACTTCAATCCCTAGACACCCTGCCCTGTGCCTGGCATCCAAACCAATTCATCAGACTAATTTAGGACCTAGTGTGTGCTGAGCAGGAACCATGATATGCCTGGATCTCCTCGTCCTGTTTATAGACAAAGGGCTGGATTGCATGGATTTCATCAAATCCCAAGATCCACAACTAATGGTTTTAAGAGTCTTAGAATAAAGATGGGTGATTCCTAGCTGAATGTCCTAAAATGGGTAACTCTAAGACAGAAGTGCTGGATCCTACCTTGTTATTGACCCTATCTCCTCTATAGGTGTGCCTTTCCCCATCATCGTGGCCTGGGCCATCGGGAAACTGTACTATGACAATGAGAAGTAAGTAGGTGCCCCATCTTCAGCTTTCTTCTCTCTTCCCTCTATCATTAATGGTCTAGAGCAGAGGTATCATCTTGAGGAAGGAGCCAAAGTACAATGAGCAGAGATCTCTTCTTCTTCCCCCCACCAGTCACTCTAACAACAAAAGTATATGGGGGTGGGGGTGGGGAACTATATTTTACTTGAGTCCAGTCGAAGAAAAAGTGATGAGATTTCTGAACTAAAGTGTGACACCAAGGGGAAACTCTAGCCTAAAGTCAGGATACCTGAATTCTAGTCCCCCCCACACTAATCATCTAGGTTGCCTTGGGCAAGTCACTTCCATTTCCTGGGTCTTAGTTGTCTCATCTGTAAATGTGTATGTGAGGGGAAAGGGGTTGGATCTGATTTTCAGGCATTCTGAGAAGCTTGATGTCCTGAACAAGGAAGATAACAGTCCTGCTGTATTCTGCTCTGGTCAGACCACATCTAGAATGTTGAGTTCATTTCAGGGTGCCACCTTTTAGGAAGGATATTGATCAACAAATTCAATGGGAAGAGGGCAAGCCAGATGGTAAGAGAACTGAGAAGCAAGCCATTTGAGCATGGGCTCTTAACCTAGGGTCTGTGAACTTGTTTTTTTTAAAAAATACTTTATATCTGTGTTTCAATCTAATTCTTTTCCTATGTAATTCTATGTATCTGATTTTATGCACTTAAAAAACCTTATTCTGAGTAGGGGCATAGGATTCATCAGACTGCCAAAAGGTATCCATGACATACACACGCACACAAACACACACAAAAAAAAGAACTTTGACTTGGAGGCTAGTTGCTGGAACTAGAGATGTTTAGCCTGGGGGTAAGAAGGAAGATTTAGTATGAGACAGTTTAGATGTTCTCAGATATTTAAAGAGTTGTCATAAGGAAGAGGCATGAGATATATTGGTCCCAATAGGGATCACCTGAAGTGATGAGAGAAAGGTGGAGAGGGGCAGGTTTAGGCTTGATGTAAGAAAAAACTTCCTGACAATCAGAGCTTCCCCAAAGTAAATGGGCTATCCCGGGTTGTGGTGAGTTTCTCCTTATTAAAGTACCCCAACTGACAGACAGATGACCCCTTTCACAGACAGGATTCCTTCTTTCTATTGAAGGTTGGATTAAATTAACAGTCTTCAAGGTCCCTTCTATTGCTCTGTGACTAGAAAAGGGAGAGATAAGAGGCAAGAAGACTTAGTTAGGAGACTGTTATAATAATCCAGGCAAGGTGAGATAAGTCTGAACTAGAAATATTTTAATGGGAGTAGAGAGGTAGGAATGAGATTTAAGAGATATCAGGATGATAAAACTAACAGTATTTGGCAACTAAGTGAATTTGAGGGAAGGACCTTGTGTGGCCTTGGGTAAATCACTTAACTTTTCTGTGCCTTAGTTTCCCATATGTAAAATGAGGGGGTTAGACTGTATGGCTTTCCAGCCACAGATCTATTACCTGTTATCCTGAGTCAGAAATCATTTCCCTTTGTTCCAGATTAACAAAACACAGGTGAGGTATGCTGACTGACATGGGGCTGACTCTCAGTACTGAGAATCAGACTCTCTGGGTTCTCAGGGCTCCGCCTTGAGCCTGGGAAAGATGTGCTCCTATGAATGTATACAGATGCCTTTTCCCAGTGCTCCCAACTCACATGGCTCCACCTGGCAACTCCTTAAACCCAACTGTCCACCTAAACCTTGCCATCATAAGACTGTTTCCTTGCTCTCTCGTTCTCAAAGAAGACCAGTGACATCATGATGGTGATATCTTAACTTGATGGTGAACTAGATATGTGAGGGAGAGCTGCGCAAAGTTATCAGCCTCACTCTCAGTGCCTCTACTCCAAGCTTCAGATTTCCCATCTGAAGAATGGGCCTAATCACCTTTATGAGCTCAGGAAAAAGGCTGATGTAGCAAAGCTCCTCTAAGGCAACAGTGGTGAATGAGAAGACCACTGAGCTAGGCATAAAGAGATACAGATTCTAATCACCATCCTCACACCCACTGGTTGCATGACCCTGAACAAATCACTTCCCCTAACTGGGATTCCGTCTCCACCTCCATAAAATGAGATTAGACTAAATGGCCTCTAAGGTGTCTTTCAATGATCACATTTCATGGTTCTGTTCAAAGACCTCACTCTGCTTCATCTCCCTAGAGAAAAGAAAAAGAAATGAGCACAGACACTAATTGGGGTAAAGAATAGAGGTTTAACAACTTTGATAGACTTAGCTCTTCTCAGCAATGCAATGATCTAAGACAATTCCAAAAGACTCATGATGGAAAATGCTATCCACATCCAGAGAAAGAACTACACAGTCTGAACACAGATCCCAGCATACCATTTTTCCTTTTTTTTTTTCTTTCTCATGGTTTTTCCCTTTGGTTCTAATTATTCTTTACAACATGGCTAATGTGGAAATATGTTTAATATGATTATACATGTATGGCCTATATTAGACTGCACACCATCTTGGGGAGGGGGGAGGGGAAGGAAGGGGAGAAAATTTAAAGCTCAAAATCTTGTAAAAGTAAATGTTGAAAACTGAAAAAAAAAATAATAGAGGTTTAAATGATTTAGATTTTAATGAATGAGTTAGTAAACCATCATAGTCCTCTTTGGACAAGTTATCCTGTATAAAAGATGCTGAGCTGTCTGGATGGGATGTAAGACCTTCTATGGAGGCCAAGATATAGACAAGATTGATCTCTAGAGGGGGCCTTTGATCCTGAGAATGAAGCTGTGTGTCTCATCTGTCCTTTGAAAAATCCAGCTTAAAAATAATTCACATTTATCACGTGCTTTAGGGTTTACAAGACACATTCTTCACAACAACCCTGTGAAGGGGTCCTGAAGGTATTATCATCTCTGTTTGAGGGTTCTGTTGCTTGCAGAGGTTGTGACTCCCAAAGCCACATGTTAGAGCAAGGCAATCTCCTAACTTCATGTCTTCTTCCCACTATTCCATGCTGGCCCCATGTGAGCAATTTCACTTCATAAATTAGGATACAGACATCCAGAAATAGCTGATTACCCAGCCAGTCATTTACTTAAATTGTTAATGCAATATAGTCCTCTACAGAGGCCGCTTTGGTTATGCTGCCCTTAGAGTTGATTAAGACTTGGGTTCAGATCCTGCCTCTAACACTTATTAGTTGTGTGACCACAAGCAAGTTACTGAACCAATCTCAGCCTTGATTTCCTCAATTGTGAAATGGGGTTAGTAGTGCTTGCCTAAACTACCACACAGGGGTGTCGTGAAGATGAAATGAGATGATATGTATAAAGTGTTCTGTAAATTCAGATATTATTACTTTCAACAGCCCCCTCAGTCCCAGGACCTCTACCTTCCTCTCTTTTTTAGGAGTGTGTATGATATGTGCATATCATTTTATGTGTATGTGTGTTGTTTGTGTGGCTTATTTCTGTGTGCGTAGGCATGTACACACGGATATGTATAAGTTTGCATGAGTGCACAGGTCGAGCCTATGAGTCACTTTTACTTTCTTATGCTTTCAGTATATACAACAGACTAAATAGCAAAATCTATTTTAAAGTGGACCTACTTTTATTGTTAGAGTAAAAGGCTGATGTGTGTGCAATATCTCTGTGTAAGCATGGGTGTGTGTGTGTGTGTGCGCGTATGACATCCCTGTAGGGATATGTGTACCCACAAGCCTAGGCTTCCCCCAGCTCTGGATTGGCAAATACCACCCAGGCTTCCTGTTATCCCAGCCATCAGCCCCTCCCCCCATTCATTTCCTTCTTAACTCCCCCCCCCCCCCCCCAAGAGGCTGCCTGCCTGGGAAACGGAGACACCTCGGCTGTATTGGGAAAGACAAGGAATCTGAATATCTTCCATATTTATCAGGGTGACTCCTGCCTGACTCAGAGGCAGCCGGTTGATTTCTGCATCTTTCACATTTCCTGGGAGAGCAAGCTTCATTATATCCCAGCTGGAAAGGCAAGGAGCCTGGCTCGGCTGGGCAGGGGGAGTGAGGGGAGAGGGGAGGCAGAACAGCATGAGTTTGGGTGTCTGAGGGGCCCAGTAACACTGCCTCCCTCCTCTCTGCCTAAGCCTCCTCCGGCTTCAGGACTAAGGGCTAATCCTACCCCAGTTAATTGGAATAGCATCAAAATCTACCCTGAATGCTTGCTTCTTTCCCCCATCTAGATTACACTAGAATGAATAAATGATACCAGAGGCAGCTCTGATTTTTTCAGTGGTATAGGAGTTCCTAACCTGGGGTCCATGGATAGATTTCAGGGGATCTGTGAACTTGAATGGGAAAAAGATACATGTTTGTTTTCACTAACCTTGAATTGAAATTTGGCATTTCCTTTTATTATTTAAAAATATTGTTCTAAGGAGTCCATATAGGCTACCATAGGGGTCTGTGATACAAAAAAAGGTTAAAACCTTCCTGCAATCTGGAGAGTTGATAGTCATTTTACAGATGAGATAGCCGAGGCTTTAGGTGAAGATTTTTAGTTGAGGTTGAGAAGCTTGCCCCTTTGGCAAAGCTGGGACAATATCAGCTATGCAAATTGCCTCCTACCCTTTTCCTCCTCCCCAGGCTCATAGGTCTCACGTAGGTCAGAGGCTGAGGTCCTTGATGCCTTCTATCTCCTTCTAACCAAGACTTCTGGTCTTCCAGGTGCTGGTTTGGAAAGAGGCCTGGAGTATACACTGATTACATCTACCAGGGCCCCATGATTTTGGTCCTGCTGGTAAGAACTTGGTAGGAGTAGAATTTGAGATAAGCGGGTCAGCTGTCTCAGGAGTGGCACAAAATGGCACACTGAGCAGACTAGGAAGCTCAAGGAAGCCTTCTGGTGATTTGGGTGCTGAGTCTACATGAGACAGGCAACAGGCAGGCCCAGGAGTAGAACAGGAGCCAGGGTGTTTGTATCTGCCTGGGGAGTCAATAGTGGTCTGAAACCCAACCTGTTTTCTACACTCCACTGGCCTCATGCCCAAATGTAAAACACCTACCTAAGATCAGGAAGCCAATTCTTTTTCTGTGATGTGGATGTCATCACCCTCCTCTCATAAAACAGGATAGTCAGTATCCCTCCATGCTATTTTGGGTGTGGTGGTCATCTCACTGAAACACCAAACCCTGAGCACTAGGTCCCTCAGAGATGCCAACGGTCTCTGAGGGGAGGGGAAGGTGAGGAGCCTTTGGGGAGAAGCCATGGCCAGCCCTTAGCCCTACTGACTCTGGTCTATTTCAGATCAACTTCATCTTCCTCTTCAATATTGTCCGTATCCTCATGACTAAGCTCCGGGCCTCCACCACATCGGAGACCATTCAATACAGGTGACTGCTTTCCTAGCACCTCCAGAGTTTCATCCTATCAAACTTCTTGCCAAGATTCCCATCTAGACATGCTCCTCCCCCACATATCCCAAGATCCCCTCCCACCTGCTCGAGATCTCCTAAATAAAGATTCCCTCACCTCCAACCTGCCACTGGTTATTGTCTCCAATGACCTCCAACAGGTCTCATAGGAGGGTTCTGCTGGGATGCAAATGAGGCTTCTATCCACAAACTCCTGATTTCCTATCCCCCATTTTCTCCTCTCCCTTCAGGAAAGCTGTGAAAGCCACCCTTGTCCTGTTGCCTCTTCTGGGTATCACATACATGTTGTTCTTTGTAAACCCTGGGGAGGATGAGATCTCTCGAGTTGTCTTCATCTACTTCAACTCCTTCCTGGAGTCCTTCCAGGTACCACTGTCTTCCCCAGCCTTCCTCATTTGATGGAGGTGGGAAGAGAAAGCATGGGGGTTGGTGACTGCTCTTCTTTTTGGAGAGCAGGCAGCCCATCTGTTAACAAAATTTCATATTGTTTGAGGACTACTATGGCTCCCACCATTGGGACAGTACCAGGGAAGGAGGGAGTACTATCCCTGCCTTCCAATAGCTTATGATGCAGCTGTGGAATAATGTTGTTGTTGTTACTTGTCCTTCACTCTCGAAGAGGACCATGAGATCAGGAATGTGATGCCATGACTGGCAAGTGAATTGAATTTAAGTGAGATGGGACTATGCAAGGTCACTAGCCTTATTCTCTCCTCTGGAGCCATCTGGGTCCAATGGCAAGATATAGATCAGGACGACTGGAGATGGTCCCATATGGAATAATGAGAGAAGCAGGAGCATAGGGTCAGAGTTGGAGGGGACCTTTAGAAGTCAGTGAGTCCAACCCTGTTTATTTTATAGATGAAAAGACTGATAGTAAGCTGGCATTGGAACTCAGGTTTTCTAATTTCAAATATCTCTCTCAAACAGGAAACCAGAGTTGAAGTATAAGCCCAGGCATTATTAACCATGTGACTTTTGATAAGTCCCTTAAACTCTCTCTGCCTCAGTTTTCTTATGGATAAAATAAGGGAACTGGGTTATTAGGTTTCTAAGGTCAGCTCTGACATGTGGTCAAGGATGGACAAAGTAAAATCAATGAAGGAATGAAAAAAAAACATTTATTAGGCATTTCTTATTATATGCCAACCAGGCAGTTAGGTGGTGCAATAGATAGAGCACTGGGCTTGGAATCAGCAAGACTCATCTTCCTGAGTTCAAATCTGGCCTCAGACACTTACTAACTGTGTGAACCTGGACAAGTCTCTTAACCCAGTTTGTCTCAGTTTACTCATCTATAAAATGAGCTGGAGAAGGAAATGACAAACCACTTTAGTATTTTTGTCAAGAAAACCCCAAATGGGGTCATGAAGAGTCAGATATGACTCAACAACAACAACAATAACAACAACGACAACAACATTATTCCAGGGACTGTACTAAGCCCTGGAAATACAAAGGGTTTATAATCTAATAAAGAGAGACAACACATACAGGAGAATGATGGCCAGGGGAGGGAGTGTTCTGGTCTGGTGAGGGATGGTGAGTGGGTCCATAGGGCAGTTAATTGACATGCCCTTTCCAGAAACAATAATAGTGCTAAATTAGTCAATATTCCTGGAGTGCTACATAGAAGGGAGAGGGAGTATACTGATGCTACTGAAAAATAGTTGGTAAGATGACCAGGCAGTTGGCTAGGTAGGATGTGAGGCATGGTCTGGTATGGGGCCAGCTGTAGTGGGCTCAGTGTTTGCACTCACTCATCAGTTAAGACAGCTGAACCCCAGGGCAGTAGTTCACCCAGATATTAGGAGGATGGTTTCTGGAGGACCAGTCTAGAGATGGCAAGAAACAGCAAGTTACTGACTAGTACAAGAAACTCTAACAAGCAGCAGTGACACAGGGAGCTGCCAGTGGAGGGTGTGGTTAGTCAGAGAAGGCTTTCAGAAGTGAGTTGAATGCTAGCTAATTTAGGAAGAAGATGATGGATGTGCAAACAACAGAGAGGGAGTTTGGGTGGCCAAGGTCAGAGCTGGAGAGATGGAATGAGCAAAGGTTTCTGAGTAAGGGCAGGCCACCATGCTGCTCCCTACTCTGAATAATGTGGCCTTATCCTTCCTCCCACCAGGGTTTCTTCGTATCTGTCTTCTATTGTTTCCTCAACAGTGAGGTAAGGAATGTGTGTCCCAAATGAAAGAAACTTTTGGGGGCAGCTAGGTGGCACAGTGGATAGAACACTGGCCCCAAAGTCAGGAGGACCTGAGTTCAAATCCAGCCTCAGACCAAACACTTGACACTCACTAGCTGTGTGACCCTGGCCAAGTCACTTAACCCCAATTGCCTAAAAATTAAAAAAAGAAAGAAACTTTTGACATTGTTGAGAATTGGGCTTTCTACTTGACTGGTTGTGGGGTGACAGGATGGGATATTAGGGCCACAAATGATATATAATAGCCTCCCTGTGTTTTCCCCTCCCTCCTCCTATGTCTGTGTATAGAATTATTTTTGGAGGAGTGAGGTGGCTAAGGGCCTGCTTCTACCTCCTCCACCAAGGTGAAAGTATTGGATGTGAATCTTGGGGGTTCCTGCTTTCCCGTTACAAATATTTCCCCAATGGCTACCCTGTTCAACAATTCCTTTGCACCCTCCTTCTCAAGAATCTGGAGGACTGCTCAGAGGGTTGGAAGCCATAAATTTGATGTTTCATCAGTGAAACTGGGTCTTAGTTTCCATAGTTGGGAAAAATAGAAAAATGGTGGAATCCAGGAAGAGTGGACAGCCCAGGCTATCTCTAGGATTTATGAAGCAACTCTCTTCCTATCCTAGTCTTAATAGCCTCCATTCTTTGCTTACAGGTCCGCTCAGCTGTCCGGAAGAGGTGGCATCGGTGGCAAGACAAACATTCAATCCGTGCCCGAGTGGCTCGGGCTATGTCCATCCCTACATCCCCTACTCGAGTCAGTTTCCATAGCATCAAGCAGTCAACAGCTGTCTGAATGGAATGGGGAACACATTCCATTTTTGGGTGGGGACACCAAAAGGGACAGAACCTAGAATCTAATTTTGATTATTGGGAGGAACACATCATTCAGTATGCTCTCACCACTGTCCCTCACACCTGACTCTTCCCAATCTGTTCAGGAAAACAATTTCCTCCTCAAACTTTGGTATACTCCAGCACTTGCTTGCCCAGAGCAGCCATAAAAGCATAGGAAATATTGGACCCATGAGACCCAGACAGAGATGGGAAACTGTGATGATGAGTATATAAGAGATGGAAGGGAAAATAGAGTCTTCTAGAAGACCCTGGAACTCTGAAGGCTGCTGAGTCTCAGACCTAGTTTGCTCTTCTGTGCTCCTTGTCTGCTCTTTGGACAGGCTTACCCAAGGGACAGGATGGAAAATTAAAAGCACATGGACAATGAAAACTAGTGACCTATATTGTCACCTTGGAGTACAATGTAGCCATCCCATTAGAAACCACAGGATTGGTTGGTTGCCATCATCAGCCTTAGAGATGTCACCAGTTAGTATTAGAACATCTTCATGAATTTCTTCATGAAAACCATTGTGGCATCATCATAAGGACATATGCGGAAACTGATAGTGACATCAGAATTCCTGACAATGATTATATCTCTGTTTGTGATGATGTCACAGCTACATCATTGGAAAGTCCAATGATGCCACCATGAACCATGGCCACATCATCAGAATGCATTATGACATCAGCAAGATGAGACAATGACACTGGAAACCATAACATCCCATCAGGAATCTAGGCACCCACCCTCACAGAAATGACTTTGCCTTTGTTCCTTGCCCATGGTTCACTTTTCTCTGGCTCACTACAACAAGAGGGGCAGGTGCCTTATGAGTGGTACTACCCTTCCCTAAATAGAGAAGGGGAGACTATTTTCTACCTGAGGGCTCTGCTACCCCTGAAATTTATTCTTGTAGGGATCATTTCTCTAGAGTAACAAAATGACTCACTCCCTGATACATGGTATTGGGTCAATTGCTACTCAGACCTCTTTTTTAGAAGTTGCTTTGTAGGCATGTATTGTGAAGCTGGGGAAGTAGCTGGGGTGTCAAGATTACTAGTTCTAGTTCTGGGTTCAACACAGAGATCTTATGCTGCTGGAATTTTGTAAGGGCAGGAGGAAAGGCAAGGGATAGGGGCTAAGGAAGGAGGAGAGAAAGGATCCTGAATCACAATGGGCTGCATCAATGCCTGTGGGTATGGGGTGTGTGGATATGGGGGGAGAGGTGGCACACGCACTGATACACACAGAAGAGAACTTTGGAATCTACAACCCTGGGCAGGTTAGGAAAGGAAGGGGAATTGCCCTGAATAGTCTCTGTCAGGAATTGAGGGGGTCAGCCTAGGAAAGGTGGTTGGAGCCAGAGAAGATATGGGTGCATGTGTTGGAGGGTTCCAGATAGAAGAGGTTGGGGTTCCCCTTGAAAGTGGAAACAAATAAAGTTTTGACATGTAACCACGTGAGGAGGGAGCAGGACCTGGAGAGGGCTAGTGAGGGGCATTTGAAGGAGGAGAGACACATCAGAGAAAGAACATTGAAACTCCAGCCTATCCCACCCACTCCATGAGGTCTAACCACTGTAACTACAGGGGAGAAATGTAGAAAGGCCAGAAGAGTAGGAGGAACACGTGGGAGGCATGTGTGTGGGAAGAAGAAAAGTGATGAGAGAACCTCATACTCAATTGGGGGCAGAGGGCTTCACAGAAATATGATGGAAGAAAATGAGAAGTAGGATAATGGGTCCCTGCTGACAAAGGAGGAACATGAAATGACTAATGAGTCTCAAACGGCCATGGCAGTAAAATAATTCTCAACTTTGCCTTCCACTGAAGGAAGGAGCTGGGAAATTTAGAAAATTAGGTTTTTGTTGAGGGAAGGGGGGAGAGAAGTGGAGGGAGAGAGGCAAAGGAGAAGGGAAGAGGAAGGGAAAGAGGATGTGAGAATGGGAGGAAAACTGTTCAGAAATCTGCTTTGCCTGGTCAGGCAGAGAAAGGAGGCTTGGATTCCAAAGCAGAGAAATCCCCTACCTCCAAGACCCCACGCCCCAGGATAATGGTCTTAGAGTCCTAATGGCAGATTGGGAGTCTCATCCTATGGGAATGGATCAATAAGGAGTTTGAAAAAAACCATACACTCCTTAAGCACTTTCTGTGTGCCTGACACTATGTTAAGTGTTGGAGATACGAATTAAAACACAACAGTCCCTGCCCTTGAGGAGATCACACTTTAAAGGAAAAGTTAAAAGAGTTAGAGGCTGTCACAGCTGACAGACTAAGGAAGCAGTTGCATATTGGCTCCTGAATAGGGTCCTTCTCCACCACCAACTGGACTGACAAAGTGTCTTTTGAAAGCATTTATTGAGCCCAGCCCTGTCCAAGGTGCTGGGGTGCGGGGTTGAACAGGGGATAAATGAAATAAAATGAACTAAAAACAGTCTCTCTTCTCCAAGAGCTCCCAGCCATTTGGAGTACAAAAGTTTAGGTAGACAGTTTCGTTGGCTCAACTGAGGTCATGAATGCAAAATGCTTTGTAAATCTTAAAACATTATATCAATGTTAGCCATTGTTATTAAGTAAAATCCACGAACAAGGGACAACTTTAAAAAGTTAATGTGGTTGGGTAATGGATCTGGATCCCTGGGATATGGATAACCGTCACTGGAAGTGGTAGATGAGAGCTAGAGCTGGGAGGGGCCTTCCAGGTCATCTAGCCCCACTCCTCCCTTTACACACGAGGATACTGAAAGCCCAGAGAAGGGAAGAGGTTTGCCCAAGGACATGACAGAGCTAGGATCCAAACCTAGGTCCTCTGACTCCAAACCCTGTGTTCTTCCCACTGTACATTGATTCATCCTAAAGCCTGATGAGATGACTGCCTTTCAGGATTCCTACAAGGAGACTGAATGACCTTTGAGGACCCCTCTAGTTTTTTAGAGTCTGTCAATAAAAGTACAAGGCATTACAAATACACCTGGAGGCAGCTAGTTGGCACAGTGGATAGCATCCTGGACTGGAGTCAAGGAGACCCAAGTTAATAAAGTGGGGACAATAATAGTACCAATCTCCCAGGGTTGTTGTGAGGATTAAAGGAGATAATATTTGTAAAGCATTTTGCAAACTTTAAAGCACTATAAAAACACTGTCTATTATTATTGTTGTTTATATCATTGTTGTTGTTATTACAAAACAATATACTTTCACATTGTACTGGTAAATATTGAGGTGACTCTTATGTAAAGGAAGACTGAAACAATGACATCCATTCTGGCTTGGAGGAGAAGGTGGCTATGGATTAATGTGAAGGAGAGACAAGCACTCTGCAGGTGATCATGTTAGCCTGGCCTTTTCAGATTACTCTGAAGAGTGGAAGAAAAGAGTGAGAAGAGGAGGAGGAGAAAGGGGGGAGTGAAGAAGGAAGGGGTAGAATGATTTAAATCTCACCTCTGATGATTACTACCTGTGTGACTTTAGGCTAATTACTTCTTGAGCCATCTGAAGTGAAGGAGCCTTTGAGGTCTCTTCCAGCACCACATCTGTGATATTTGTTATTCTATACTCAATTCTGAATCATGTAGATAAGGGTGCAAGTAGAGTGACTGTCATCCAAGGCCTTGAGAAAAAAAACCCAAATTCAGAATATACTATAGAACTACACCTGTCAATTAAAAACACCCAGAGCTTAAAGAAATGTACATTCCAAATGCCAGAGGCCAGACTACAATTTTCTCACCATCCTTCTCCACCTCCCACCCCCAATCTGGGAATTATCATGGTATAATGGAGAAATCCAGGAAGACCTGGATTCAGGTCCTTCCTCTGGCATATACTGGCTGTGTGAACCTGAGCAAATCACCCTTTCAGTGTTCTAGTCCAGAAAACTCTAGGACAACAGGCTGTAGAAAGGTGCCAACCTGCACTGGTGAAGGGAGTTTCCTCATCGCACTATACCAGTGAAAACACAGGTCCATTCCCCTATCTGATGTCTTTTGCACTCTGTCCTTGGTCCTGGTCTGGGACAGATACCCTATGTAATGATCCCAGAAGGTCTTTGTGTTGTTCAACTTTGATTGGGGGGAAAGGGGCAGGGGGAAGAGATAGGGAAGGCCAGGAGAGGGTTCAGTCTGTGTTGAGTGCATAAACATGAATACATACATGGTCCCCAAAGGGCTTTATTAGAAGAGAAGAGGCATTGGTGCCATTAATACTCTCCTTGATTTTGGGTTTTTTTTTTCCCTTTGGCTTTTCAGATTTGTCCCAACCTTAGGACTGGAAAGGTTGCAATTCATTGTGTTCCTCTCTAAAGAAACTCTTCCCTCTAATGCCTCTCCTCCTCCTCCTCCTCCTCCTCCCCCTTTTACCTGCCCCCTTTCACCTCTGCTGTCTCCTCTTCCCCATCTGTCCCCTTTCGTCTCTACTATTCTCTTCTTCCCACCAGTCCCCATACACCTCCACCCTACTCTACAGCTTCTCCAAGTGGGCCAGCTCTCCACCTCCAGAGGAATGGACTAGACCATGCTCAGGGGAAAAAAAAATACAAAGCATTGCTTTGGGTTTTCACTTCAGTCCCTTTGGTCCCAAGCCACACATGACAGATGATACTGGTCCTGTCCCCCACTCACCCCAGGCCTGTGGGATGCTCAGCTGGAACATTGAGGGGTCTCCTTAGAAATACCTGAAGTGGCCTCTTCAGCTACTATTGGTTTCTTGAGGTGTTATCTCAATATATGCTAGACTAAAGGGCATCTGGTCCTAGGAAATCAGGTCTTGGGGGATTATGTCAAAAGAGTCAAATCACAGGGGATTGGGATGGGTGGAGTGGGAATGGTTTTAGGAAGGCTTGATTTGGGATTTAGTCAGTGATTTTTCTGGACAAAAGTAGCAATTGTCTCATAAACAGGCAATCTCCAGCCAATTCTGGGAAAGCTTCAGTACAGGCCAAGCAGAGACCAAATGTCCTCTAAAACACTAGCGGTATTTACTACCCTTCCTCTATAGGGAAATAGGGTGGGTGGTGTGGAGAAAAGCTGTATAGTCTCTCTGTCTTTCTCTGCCCCACCACTATACCTCCCATCAGCTGTACCTGCCCCCACTGCCTTCTTGATTAATTAAGAGCTTTTAATTACAGAGCTAGGTTAATTGCAATGGCTAGATTCCCTCCTGGGGGCAGTGTAATCTGTTCTCTGGGTTCACAGAGATAATATTAAGTGGTACTATAGGGGAAGTCTCCTATTAGTGAGACTCTTCCTTGTGTTCTGCGTCAGGTTCTCAACCTACCCAAAAAAAGATGGTAGTTCCCCATCATGATCAGGAGAGGAACTTCCAGAGGTCGTTTCCTCAAGGCTCCCATTTTCAAATAGAAGTTAAGGAGACAACCACAACAAATGAGAATCTCTTCTTCAAAGGAAAAGCATATTACAATATCTATTACAATCAAATCATTAAAGAATATACTTTAAGCTCAAAATTAATATCTAACATGAATATTAAAGGTTGTATCCTTTAAAAAAAAAAGGAAAGCGATGAGAAGAGGTGCCTATCATCACTATGGTGAAGGAGAGAATTCTTAACCAAACAAGGGACAGAGGCAACCATAAAAGATACGTATTTTTGATAAGTGTTTACACAAATAACATCAATGACATTAACAAAAGAAACTGTCAAATGGGAAAAATATTTGCATCAAATATCACTGATAAAATATGATTTCCATATTTCCGTAAAATATTATTTTCAGATATGGGAACCTGACACATGGGTAAGTGGCCAAAAGCTATGAAAAGTTTTCAAAATGAAGAATTACACACTGTAAATGGCATTAGAAAACATGCCCCAAATCAACATTAGGAAGAGAAATGTAAATTAAAATAATTCTATGGTTCCATTCAACACTTTGAAAATTAGCAAAGATGACAAGAATCAGGAATGATTCATGTTGAAGAAGTTGTGGGAATGGAATGGAATAATTTTTTATTAAGCACCTTCTCTAATGCCTTATGCTAATCACTTTATAAATATTATCTCATTTGTGGAAATGCAGGATTGCTAATAGAGGATTAGTAGAACTAGGAATTGATACCCGTCTTCTTTATACGAATTTGGAATTTTACAAGAAAGGGTTACAACAGTCCATAGCCTTTGACCTAGCAATTCCAATACTAAGCAATACCCCCAAGGAAGACAATAGCTGAAATAAAAGTCCATAGTAAACCGAAATATTCACAACAATCTGAGACAGCAAAGAGCTGGAAACAAAGTGGGTGCCTGACTCTTGGGGAATGATTGAAAAAAGTCTGGCATCTGAATGTAATGGAATATTATTATATAGTAAGAAATGATAAATACAAGGAATTCAGAGAAATACAGGAAAATCTGCGTAAAATGATTCAGAGTGAAATAAACAGAACCAAAAGAACAATATGTACAATGACCACAAGTGAAATAGTAAAACAGTATAAAACAAATGTAAATAAAACAGTAAGACAATATAAAATAACAGTAAATAAAACAGTAAATAAATAGTAAAACAGTAAAAATAAAATTACTGAGCTAAACTCTCAGTAATTAAAAAACACCAGTGATACTCCTGAGAATTTCTGTCCTTATGGAAAAAAGTGAGAGATTACATGGGAAGAAAGCTGTATATAATGTTTGATGTGGTGACTGCTTTGGGTGTTTTTGCTGAATTGGTTTCCTTAGTTAGATGGGAGTATTCAATTTAGAGGAGTTTTGTTGTTCTTGTTGTGTTTTATTTTCTGGAAATGACTGTGATATAAATACACAAAAGGCATAAATAAAACATTTTAAAGACATTGCTCACTACTCATCTACTGTCACCCCTCCCCCACCCCAGGATACCATCATATCCCCTAATTTCCTATTCTTACGTCTAATGACTTCCTCAAAGACAACTTTTTTAAACTGACCCTCTGGAAGGGAGGAAAGCCCCATAGAGTGTGGATTTGAAACAAAATGAGTTCCCATCAACTAAGGAATGACTAGGAAATTATGGTACATGAATGTAATGGAAGATTGTTGTGCTATATATAAGAAATGACAATTATGAGGAATTTGTGGGGGGAGCTAGGTGGTCCAGTGGATAGAGCACCAGCCCTGGAATCAGGAAGACCTGAGTTCAAATCTGGCTTCAGACACTTATTAGCTGTGTGACTCTGGGCAAGTCACTTAACCCTGATTGCCTCCAAAAGAAAAAAAATTGTGAGAAAACGTATATGAACTATTACATGAGAATCAAGAGAACAATATACACAAGTAGTTCTAACAATGTAAATTAAAAGATCACTTAAGAGGGGAAGCTAGGTGGCGTAGTGGATAGAGCACCAGCCCCAAAGTCAGGAGGACTTGAGTTCAAATCCAACCTCAGAGAGTTCTTAGTTGTGACCTTGGGCAAGTCACTTAACCTCGATTTGCCTGACCTCTTCCCCAAAAAAAAAATTTTTAAGAACAGGCTATGTTGGCAAACACCAAATCCCAGCAGACCCCAGGCCTGAATCTAGTGTCAGCCCTTCACTCATTGCCTTCCCTTGACTCCATTTTCCTATTTCCCACCCCACTCTTAATTAACATTTTCTCCTTCAACTCTTCCCCATCCAAGTCATAACTGACAACCTCCTAATGGGACCTTGCTTGATAATCTGCCTTAGGAAGAAGCAAACCCTAATTTAATATAAGTAAAATCCCTTGTGTATAATATATTTGTTGTTGTTGTTCAGTCGTGTCTAACCCTTTGTGACCTCATTTGGGGTTTTCTTAGCAAAGATACTAGAGTGGTTTGCCATTTCTTTCTCCAACTCATTTTACAGATGAGGAAACTGAGGCAAACAGGTCAAGTGACTTGCCCAGGGTCACACAGCTAGTTAATGTCTGAGGCTGAATTTGAACTCAGGAAGATGAGTCTTCCTGACTCCAGACCCAGTGCTCTATCCACAGCACTCTATCCACTAAATATACAACTATATCTGTATACATATACATGTACATATATATAGAGAGAGAGACACACACACACACATATATACACTA